AGATAACCGGAGGGTGGGTGCTAAGCTTCCGCAACGTCGTTATCAGCTGCACAGTGCAGAGCGGCGTCCATGAGCTAGCTCACATGCACTAAAAGTTATATAACCTCTCCATAGATTTATATTGTTCTGTGAAAGAAGTGTTAAAAGTGTCTGAGATGGTCTTAAAATGACAGTTTGTTTTGTTTTCTTGTCGTCCACAGAAACGCTCACAGAGTGAAGCCACCTCCAAATTGTACATTATTTGTGAATATGCTAGTGAATGGAAAGAGAAGAGAGACTTGGGACTTGCTCAGCCTGAAGGGAAGAGATGATGGAGTCTGGAGAATGAGAGAGTGTGTTTGTAGCTGTGAGATGAATGGGGACTGTGTGGATGCATTTCTACATTGGTGTGTGTGTGGTTGGATGTGACTGTGTGCGACTGCTATTAAGGTAGTGTCCTCCAGACTTCTACTCTTCTTCCTCCAGACTCCTGGTCACCAATAGGCACCATAGCGTCTTTGTTATTCACTGTACTGCCTTTATAATCACTAGAAGAAATAATCAAGTATTTATGTTTGTAATTACACCTGACTTTAAGCAAAATATTTTGTTATATTTTCTATCTGTGGTATTTATTTGTAGCTAGAGGTCATATCATTTTTATTTTTTGTCATTGTCCGCCCATACAGTCTACTTTCTGCCCTTGTGGTTCTTTGAGTTCAAACAAAAGGCAATGTGCTGTCAAAGGCTTTTTTTTTTTTTTCTTTCATAGCAAGCTTTAACCCAATTATTGAAATCTTTGATGCAATTCCTGTGCTGGTATCCTGCTGGAAAAAGACATATGCTTACCATATGCTTTACAGAAACATGAGCTCAAATGTTTTTCATATTAGACAGCACAGGGGAGATTGACAGGAAACAAAGAAAGAGAAGAGGACTGACATGTAACAAAGGTCTCTGACCGACTCAAACTGCTCCACCAGGACACACCGGCCCAAACGTTTCTGAAACTGTCGCACCGAGACACCAACATCATCTACTCTCAAGTTGCCTTTCACCTTACCTACCTTGAGATTTGATTGTACAGTTCATAAGCTATTTTGTTTTTGTTAAATTTTGATTCGTGAAGCAATCAACTTAAAAATCAAGAATGAAGTTTAGGATTTCTGTAAATGTACCAAATTGGATTCAATGTAGCCCCTCTTCATATCAAAACTTGTGCTTTTTAAAACAAACGAGAATAAAATTTGTATACAATCCAAGGTTTTGGTTTTGTCGCCTTTTATACTTAATAAGCAGACTAGACTTGCGTCTTGTGTCCAGTCATCAATGGGTTACCTGGGTTTAAGTTATTGTCTTCTGCACTTTGCTACACTAACTCCTTCTGTTATAACTCGTGCAATTACACTTTGTATAACTGAAGGGAAGAAATGCCTTGACCCTTGTTACTTTTTAAGAATAATGCGATCTCTGCAGATGCAGCACAGTAGATGCATCTGCTCCACTAGCAGAGGAGGTGCAGTTTATGAAAGCTGCGTTGCTCCATTTCCTTTGAAGGGCTAGTTAAGTCTGGAGATAATTTCCTGCCAGCAGCGAGCTGTATCACAACCCTGCTGCTCCTCTGCTCTGATAACGGACTCCGTGACCCCTGGCAAGCTTCTGCGTTAGAGACAGAAAGCATGTACGTGTGTGTGTGTGTGTGTGTGTATCCACGTTTACACGCTGCATACGTCTCTGGGTTTGAATGTGCACCGTACTATATGCGTTATAACTGCCAACAACAGATTCGGGTTACCTAAGCAGCAGCCCGGAGAGCGTTAGAGCCTGTTAAAGTTTAATGTTTGTTTTCTGCACATGTCACTTGTCGACCCTCTCAGTTACTGTGGCCTCTGGCAACGGGCAGCTCGGGCCTGTAAACAAATCCGTCAAATCCCAACTACAAATCATCGATGGGACTAGCGGAGATCAAAGAGGGCTAAACCGTTACTGCATCTGGGTAATCGGTTTGCCCTTAAGATGAAGATGAGAAACCAGAGGGTTGCCTGACAAATGAAGGTAGTCGGCCTGTAACTGCTCCAGGTGTGCTGCCCTTGCATCTCACCCTGCTGTGTTTGGGGCTTGATAAATGTGTGTTTGAGGAATAGAAAACACAGTATCTATGGAAATAACTATGAATTTCCTCTGCATTCCTACTGTCATAAATGTAAAGAAGTGTGTATGGAGAGCGCGTACAGACAGTAGTTCACAGTTTACGGGTTAGATGTTTGTGAAGTTATGGAACTTCTACACCTAACCCTTCTCCTATATGCTCCGAGTTGATGCTGTAGGCCTTACCTCTCCAGTCTAAAAGGAAACAAACGTTACTGTAGTGACAACACGGGACCAGGCCTCAACAAACTCTCCACAGCAGTCTCTGTGGCAACTGCATGCATGGTTGAAGAGTGATATTGCCTCTCCACACTGCGATGGACAGAGAGTGAAAGGAGGGAGAGGGGGGATCTTGGTTTCATGGTTTGCAGGGGGGAGCTAGCATTACATGAGAGTGAATCGGAGTGATGACATTGTTCCTAAGTACCAGCTGAGTGCACCTTTACATCAACCTCTGTGGAGGAAGGGCTATTCATGTGTCCGAGCCCCCACAGGTGGACAAAGGGACAAGCAGGCAGATGGATAAAAAATACCCTATCCAGTGTAGAGTCTGCTCCGCTGTTGACACTTTGATACCGATTATGCGTCTCAGGTTTACTGATTGTTTCAGAGGAAATTAGGGATTGATTCTGGACCATCAAGGGGGTCTGGGTTTCACTGTCAGCTTGGGCATAGTGGGGCTCAATCCTGGAGAATCCTGTGGTATCTGAAGAAAGACCACCAAGACGGACATGGAGTGAGGTGCTCCTCTAACGGCTGAATTTCCAAGTATGCAGTCGGCTTCAGTGCTGGCTAAAAGGGGGAACTATCTGTGGTAAGGTGCAAAAAACAAAGCATTTTAGGTTTTGTTTTTATGGGATTAGAATTGTCAATGAATATTTCTTCAGGCAGCTGACATGCTGTGTGAATGTTTTTGGTAGTATTGCTGCTACTGAGCGACTCCTGAAGTATTCGTCGCCTCTACAAAGAGTCAAATGGAGAAAAAATACCCGTCAATAGCAGGAAAAGAAAAAGGTAAGTTCACTCGTAGAAACTTCTTTTTTTTTACTGATTGTGTAAATTCATGTGTCTAAAACTGTACATCCTGTGTAAAGGCATGAATATCATGTTGCAGTTGGTCACTTTTGGTATTTCATAATTCCGAATTGGGAACACTGACTAGAGCAGAGTAGAGGATGTCTCAGTGTGCAGACCTGCCAGGACTCGCTCCTCTCTGTGAAAAATGCCACCGCACACTTGTACACTATGAGGTGTGGTGGTGCAGATCATTCTTGCCTCATACTTGAGTTTATCAGATTGCCAAATAAGAGGCCACAATTATTCTGAGTTATGCAACATTCTGTCGTTTAGCAAATTTGCGTACATTGCATTCTTATGAACAACTGACTGGTGCTGAAATAAACTGTTTGGATCTCCTTTACTGCACAACGGTGTCACTTGTGCACTGTGAACATGTTTAATGTCGTATAATGTGTCGGCCGTACATCTCTGTGTTAACTCCCCACGTCTCTAGGGCCAGGGCCTGGGCGCTATGGGCTTCCTCCCACCGTTGGATTCATGGGCCACGACTTCACCAAGACGACTAGCCCTGCTTATTCCTTCCATGGCAGGATGAGTGACACTAGTGAGTTCTTCATCTCTTTCTCTAACTTGTAGGTTATCATGTAGCTACATATCTGCAGAGAAAACACTTTTTTAAAATGTAATATCCCTAAATACACCACAGACCTAAGTCACATTACACTGTATATCCTCAGTGATGTAATGTTAAATAAAAGCCAGTAGGGGGAGACAACGCTTCATAGATCTGTAGTTTCTCACCTTATGTTCATCTAGCCAGTGTATTTTAGGACCACTGCATGATCAAAACAAAGTGACTGAGCAGATATTATATATTGAATTGATCATACACGTTTACTTTCCCTGCAGTGTATTGTGTAGACTCAAGTCCAGGGCCACAGTATCACATTGATGCAAAAATGACTCGTTTCGGAAGGGCCGTCACACCTGCATACTCCATGTTGGGCCGAGTGAAAACACAGAGTAAGTTCCTCTTCATAACAGGCAAATAACTGTTATTGTGAGTGCACATGTATGTTGTAATGCTGCATCTTAAACTAAGACCAAACTAACTTATCCGTGATTGTGAAAAGATGAACTCTTGTACAAAGACATGTGTTTTTGAAACTACTTCTACAGATCCAGTGTCAGCTGTTACAACTGAAAATCTGAACCACACTAAGCATGCTACTCGACCATATGTTGTTGAGTGGATGGTTTGTATTATTCAACCGTTTTCTGTTCACTAGAGGAGCTATTCCAGACACCTGGACCGGGTGCATACAGCCCTGAGAAAACCTCACCATACAACCTCCAGCGCAGACCACCGTCTTACACAATGGGGTATCGCTCACAGTACCGGAGTGTCGACTCAGTACCGGCGCCTAACAAGTACTGTCTGCCTCCGCTAATGGGCCCTCAAGTCCCAAACAAGCAAGCCAGCGCAAGTTACACAATGTCAGGTACTTACAGCACAGGGGGACCCTCTGTGGATTTAGCCCAGACACCAGGGCCTTGCAGGTACAACAGTACAGACCCAAGTGTTTATCTACCCAGAAAGCCAGCATTTTCCATGCTGGGACGTCACGACTTACCCAGAGATGCCACCAACAAACCCGGTCCTGGGACTTACAATCCAGAGAAAGTGACAGTTCACAAGGCTCGGGCCCCAGCCTACTCCCTGGGCATCAGACACTCCGAATTTGTTACTCCACTGATTGTCAATGTTTCCGACTGACCATCATCACACAGAAAACATGATTCTGTGTTCTGGTAGAAAGAAATATTGATGAGCAAACAAAGCTAATGTGAAGAAGTACATTTAATTTGTTCTTTCAGCAACAAAGAAAGTGTTGAATCAACCATGACTCAGTCAACATTTATAACATCTTGAAATAATATTATGTACATGACACAAACACAAGTTTAAAGAACAGGAAAAACATAGAAAGCTCTTTTGGAAAAGTAATGGGCTTGAGGAAAGGAAAAAAAAAAAACTAAAAACTATGCCTGCCCGATACTCAGTAAATAAATCATCATAAAAATGGCATCAAAAGACATTTAAAAAATGTATTAAAATGTACACTTGACAGGCAAACTTTCACTTTCATATTGTTTATAAGGTTATCATTCACAGTGGAATCAAGCCGATTGCCTCTCGTTGCCTCTAAAAATTGAGGGAGTTTGAAAGGACAAAAGACACAATACAACTAAGGATTTTCTACACAATACATTAGAACATATGTAGATGGTATGAAGGATGTATGGTTCATAGACAATACAAATCAGCAAAGATGATAGCAGGCACTTTACAGGTTTCCATTTAATCCTTTGGGAGAGGTCTTCTGAAAAGCAGTATGTGTGGCTCTGGAGAGTAAAGCAAAGAAGAAGTATCTGTCAGCATCATCTGCACAGTACAGTGGTTACACTATACCGTGTACCTTCACGTGTACCAGCTGTGTGTAGGACGTTTCATGGCAGTCTAATGGCACAGGCTTTTAAAGGATCGGTTCAGATATTTTTCATGACTATCTTAATACAACACTCACATGCTGATGTACATTTGTTGTAAAACAAGAGTTACCCTGTAATCATTCCTTTTCTCTATACTGGTGATGAAGAGATCCTTTTCTGGCAGACTACAACGTAAGAGATTGTGGCCAAAATACAGTCCTCCTGTGTGAAAACTGTGCTCTACAGCTGAGCCAAAGGAGGTATTTTCGAACAGTCTTAAATACAAAATCCCATCATTCCATTCCCCTACACTGTTGTTTTTGCTGAGCAGCAGGGAAGTGGCATAAACACAAAGGGGACTTTTGTTCTAAATACTATAATATTGGAAATACCCATTTGATGAGACTAATATCGACTGATGAAACCATTAAAAACATAGGTTTCCTTTGGCTGAGCTTTAGGGTGCATCTAGCACAGAACTAGATTATTTCTGTCATATCTTGTAGACTCCTGGTAAAAAAGGACTTCTTCACAACCAGCATGGACAGAAAGGATGATTGCCATATTATTAGCTCTTTTAATATGCATGTGGATATATGTGAAAACTGACCTGGTTTGTGTATCATGTAGTGAATCCAACCCTGGCTCTGTTGCACCCCGAGTCCCCTCCACTCGTCTTCTGCCATCAGGTGGGCGGAGGGCACCAATTTAGACAGCTGCTTTGGAAGCACCACATGTCTATGGGACGATAAAGAAAAACAGCAACGAATTATCCACTAAGAACCAGAAACGTATTTTAGGGATGGTCAAGAAGTAAGTCAACTAGACTGTTTCAGGTAACTTCATATGATAGCGAACGTTGACGGCTAGGTACTCATGGTACTAATAATGTACAAATATTGACGTCACCGTTAATGTGACCCAACAGTCAGCATAGCTCGTGCTATTTTGACAAATTTCCCCTTGGGGATAAATAAAGTATATTTCTATTCTATTAGCTGTAAGTGGATCAAGAGTGTTTTTGTTAGCTTAACTGTTAGCCATTTACAAAGATTTATCATTACGTAACTCTTATGCTAAACTAAATACAACCTACATACTCTGTAACGTTACTGTATTTTACTGTATTACCCATTTGCCGACATACGTTAACGTTACGTTCAGCAGTGTAAAGTTAGCTAGCCTACCCAATCCTACCGTAATGTGACGTTAAGCTAACTAACGTTAACGTAAAAACACAAAATAACGTACTTTTAACTAGTGCCAAAAAACGTCAGTTAATCACACCTGTATTCAAACTCCTCGTCGTTGTACTTGTCAGAGTAGTAAATCTGTTTTTTTGACATTTTCCCGTCGATGATAGCAGTCAAAGCTGAAGTCCAGAGAGCCGTTTCGGTTGATGTGAAGTAGCTTAGCTCACTAACTTAGCAATAACGAAGCTGCTGTCATCTGCCGCTGTTTTCAGAGGACAATTCAAAACCCAACGGTTACCCGCATGTCCCTGATTGGCCAAGGCAGCAGCACGTCGACTTCCCACAGAGCTAGATCGTCTATGTTTTGAAAGATGAATCACTCGGATGTGAAAGCACGACTCTTCAACGAGGAAGCACTGCTTTGCGAAAAAGTTTGTTTTTCCCCGTAAATTATTCAAAAACACACATTCACGCAATTTTCTTAAGTTTTGGTATTGTGCCATATACTTAAAATAAGTCTTAGACGTTTGAAAGGAAGATATTTTCTGTATTTTTGACAACGTATCTGGTACTTCGCCAGGACTTTTCATGGAAGTGCAGAGGGGCTCTTCATCTTTATACTCTCTCTGCCACGTTGCTAGTCCTCCTTCCGTCGTTACCCCGGTGCAAAGAGTTGTTTTGCCCGAGGTGCTGGAGCTTGTACTGGGGCCATGGCTGGAGCTCTTCGGACTGTAGGTGAGAGGTGCCCGGGTTGAAATGGAAAAGGCACTCGGTGGTGGTGAAAACAACAATTTACATTTTCGGGACATTTCTGAATTAGAGTTAAATATGAACCATAAGCGTTACAGGCAGTGGGTATACAAAGCGAATACATAATTACTAATTACATTTAGCCTTCAGTGATTTTGCAAATGATGGTTGGATACTATTTAGCTGGAACTCTATCTAACATGAACCCTAATGGAATACGGTGTTTCTAAATATAGCCCATCAATGTAGCTTGCATTTGTCTTTAAATTGTCATCATTCGTGTTTTTTTCCAAGCTAAGCAAGTTTCAATTTTATTTAATTTTGCCTGCTGAATTGTTCATTATTTTACTTTTAATTTGGTTGCATTCATGGATGGTGCATATAATAATGACATGCACTAAGCTTACATAAACGATGTTTCTTTACCACTAGCTCTTATTTTTGTAATGTATTCAGTTATATATTTTGTTAGGTAGCCTAGATTATTATCTTTACCAAATCTGGATCCAGTTGAATTTGTCTTGTCGCTTAATATTTTCTAAATTAAATTTTTTATCATTTGCTATTAACATAGACCACTCTCTAATTCATTATGTGACACAGGCCTATTTCCACTGACTTATTTGTTTTTATTCTTTGTATTTCAGTAATTTCTGTTGTGGCACCATCATGGGCGATACACAAAAGAGAGCATCGGTCATCTATTATATTTTCTCTTGGGCCTTACATGAACATATTACCTTTCCCAGTAAATGCTTTGTAGGTACATGAAAGATAAACTCTCTCTTTACATTTTAACCAAAACAAAGAAGTTTGAGGATTATCTTGTTGGAAGTAAGTAACCTATGTTGTAATCACTGTTGTCAAGGTAATGGCTGCTAATGAGTGGTGGTGTATTCACAGCATGGTGTGTTCCTCTTGTATATGCAAACTACCAAAGTCAGGAAGCACATATGTTAACTCTTCACAGACAGAAAATGATAGTATAGTTGACTGATCAGCTGCAAGCGAGTAATATATTGTTATTTATGGCAATTAAACGTAGAATTAAACGTAGTCTTCAAATGGTTGCGCTTGTATCTTTTTCTTTAAAGCACGTTTATTTAATTTGGTTTGAAGTAATAATGACTTCATATCTGTTTTCCTTTTGAGTAGAGTATGTTGCAAGAGCAGGTCTTTTGGTGTTTTTCCTCACAGAAAAGGGAACAGGACATATATAGAGGAAAGGCCAGCTTACTTGTGCATCTGTCAACATGCAGTGAATCCATCTGGTTTATCAGTAACTTCTTATACTCTGTAGCAAACAAACAGGAGGCAATTAGCTGTTTGGAAGCGGATGGTAGTGGTAGTTTGCGTTCCCACTGGGTTTTTTCACTGTGGTTCGTAGTAATGAGTTTTCCTGACACTAGTGGATTGAAATTATTCTCTTACTCAACCATAGATGCAGCTCATTTGTGCTGTGTGAAGTGTTGCCTTTCTCTGATAAAAGTCAATGGAAATTCACTGGGCTGGATTCTTCTCATCTTCTTTCTCCCTAGAGCCTGATACATAGGTAAGTTTCCTGATGCCTTTCTAAATAACTTTTAAGTTTACAAATGTGTCAATAGCGGTCAGTGTAGTGCACAATTTAAACCCATTTTAATCAGTGTAGTTTGTTTGTTGACTGTTGTCCTTCTGTCACATTGTATTGGACAGACAACATGATTATTGCACTCAATGAATTAATAACTGGCGTAACAGGTGACTCTGACTATTGGGTTATTTCACAACCAGTGCAGACATTGCTCTCACCATTTGACCAACCCCCCC